TTCTATTCTTGTGAATGGCTCTCCTGCTGGTTTCTTTGGTTGCACCCGGGGCATAAGACAAGGCGATCCTTTGTCATCTTTCCTCTTTCTTTTTGTTATGGAGGGATTAAGCAGACTTATGCGCAGGGCAGAGGACCTTGGCTTTATTAAGGGTTTCAGAGTGGGTAAAGACTTAGCCCATCAGATGGAGATTTCTCATTTACTTTTCGCAAACGATACCCTGGTTTTCTGTGATGCTGATGTGTCTCAACTTCGTTATTTGAGATGCATCCTAACTTGTTTTCAGGCGGTCTCCGGGCTAAAGGTCAATGTGGCTAAGAGTGCTCTTGTCCCAGTAGGGAATGTACAGGATATCTCCTCCTTAGCTGCAGTTTTTGGATGCAGGGTGGGTTCTTTTTCTATTCCTTATTTGGGGTTGCCCTTAGGGGTCTCTTCAAGGATAGTGGGGAGTTGGGATTCAGTGATTGACAGGTATGCGAAGAGATTAGCAGGATGGAAAAAGCAATATTTGTCCAAAGGGAGTAAAGTTACTCTTATTAAGAGTACGTTATCGAGTCTTCCCACTTATTTTCTTTCTATGTTCCAAATCCCTTGTTCCATTGCGGATAGGATTGAAAAAATTCAAAGGGATTTTCTATGGGGAGAAAGGGGAGATGAGTTCAAGTATCACCTTGTTAGATAGGAACAAGTTTGTAAGCTTGTGACATTGGCCGGACTTGGCATAAGACGAATAGTTCATTTCAATCAAGCCCTCCTAGGTAAACGGTTATGGAGATATGGAAGGGAAAGACACCGTCCTTGGCGCAGGTTAGTTCCTGTTGGTTTGGGGAAGAAGATGGAGGCTGGTCTACACGTCCAATTACTCTTGTGGGAGGAGTAGGGATGTGGAAGTCTATTCGGAAGGGTTGGGACGCCTTTTTTGCTCATATCAGATTCAAAGTTCGTGATAGACGTCGCGTTCGGTTTTGGGAAGATCTTTGGTGTGGTGATCAACCACTATGCCTTTCATTTCCTAGATTATTTAGTATTGCAGTTGATAAACACACCTTTGTAGCTAATTGTTATCGTCTTGATAGCAATGGGATTACGTGGGATGTGCACTTTCGGCGCTCTTTTCAAGATTAGGAGATAGATGAGGTATGTGTTTTTTTGGATCTTCTATATCGGCAGGAGTGTGTTGGCAGAGGAAATGATGATTTGATTTGGGGTCCTTCTTCCCACGGTCGTTTCGAAGTAAGATCCCTGTTCTTATGTCCGTCTCATTTTGTTAATTATATTTTCCTGTGGAAAACTATTTGGCGATCCATGGCTCCAACTAGGGTGGCTTTCTTTGTTTGGACCGCTGTTTGGGGAAAGATTTTGACAATTGATAATTTAAGGAAAAGGGGCAATTGTATTGTTAATCGGTGTTGTCTATGCAAGAAAGATGGGAAGTCTGTTGACCACTTCCTTATTCATTGCCCTGTGGCGAATGACTGTTGGAATCTTATTGTTGGGTTGTTTGGCATGTGTTGGGTAATGCCACGATCTACTAAGGAATTGATTCATGTATGGAGAGGTTGTCGCGTTAAAAGGGATGTACGCGATTTCTAGAGAGTTATCCCACATTGTGTCTGGTGGTGTATTTGGAAGGAGAAAAATAGTAGAATGTTAGAAGATAAAGAGTCGTCTACGGAAATGGTGAAACATCACATTCTTTGTTCTCTATTCAATTATGTGAAGAGGAGTTCTTCCCCTTCTTCTGATGATTTAATTATTTTTTTGGATTCTTTGAGGCCTTAGTCCCGGTTCCATTTTTGTAAAAAGGACGTGTTCCCCTTTTGAACGCCTTTTTATATTATTATTACTTATCAAAAAATATATATTTTACTTTTAAGAACTGAATTTATTAAGATTGTTTGTTATATACAAAAGCTGAACTCTGAAAGTTGTACATATTACATTTTTGACCTCGATAAATGGTACTTATAACAATTTTATATTTATAATATAAAAATATTAATAAAATAACACATTAAATATATTTATTTAACAATGAATAATAATGTCAAATAATCATAATAAAAATAAAATAAAAAAATTCTTATCTAGAAATAGAATTATATTATATAAATAATTGATGAAAATTTAAAATATATGAATTTTGGATTGCATAACATTTATGTAAGATATCGAAAAAGGTGCAACAAAGATTAAAGAAAGTAAAATTTAAAATATATGGGTTTGGATTACATAATATTTGTTAAATTGTTACGTAGGATATCGAAAAAGGTGTTACAAAGATTAAAGAAAGTAAAATTTAAAATATATTGATTTTTTATTACATAATATTTATGTATGATATTGAAAAGGGTGTTACGAAGAAAGTACGTGAAAAAGAATTCTTATCCAAGAATAGAATTTTATTATATAAATAAGTGATAGAAAATTTAAAATATATGGGTTTTGGATGATATAATATTTATGTACGGTATCGAAAAGGATGTTAAAAATATTAAAGAAAGTAGGTGAAAAATAATTCTTATCTAGAAATAGAATTTTATTATATAAACAGTGGTGTTAAATCAATTTGAATAGATAACCAAAGAGACGTGTTTATACTATAATATGTAGAATTATTATTATTATTATTATTATTATTATTTTGGGAATTTGGTAAAATCATATATTTTTTAAAGAATTTGCTCTATAATGTAAAAGTTTAAAAAATAATAATAATAAATAAAAAATAAAAAAAAGTAACAACCATCCAAATATATATAGAAGAGTTTTTCAACGAGAGAACTCACTCTATTTCTAGATGCAGAGAGAAACCGAAAATAGAATTTTAAAGAAATTGCAAAGAGAAGTCTAGAAGAGAGCGTGATTATTTGAGGGTAGAGTAGTCATTAAAAAAATATGTTTAAAACCTATTCACTTACCGTCTTCTGCGATAAGCTATAAGTAACCCTCTCCTCGCTTAAAATTGTAGCCTCTTTTAGGCGGTAATGACCATATTAAGCGGTATTCTAAAATTTTATCAAACACGCTTATTTTTAAAAATCACTTACCGTCTTCTGCATTCAGCACTGAAGTAGGAAATCAAACAGGGCCTAAGTCTTGAGTTTTGAATATATGAAATTTGGCCCCAAAAAATTTTACAAAATCTATTAAGTACCTCTAATTAAGTCTTGGGTTTTGAACATTTCAAATCTGGCTCCGAGCAAACCCATATTATAAGAGCCCGCGTCATATGAAAACTCTCTTAACATGTAGCCTCGTACCCATAAAAGTATATCTCTTATACTTCATGTCCGCAATATCAAAATTCAATTTATATCAACTAACTTCTAATACATCATAAACACAATATCAAAACCTAATGTGTGTGTGTATGTCAATTGTGTATTTTTGTTTATCTCTATGTTTTGCAAGTGCATTGTTTGTTTAATTTGATTATTTTTCTCCATACGTCTAATGCATGTATCTTTTCAAATTTGTTATACTGAAGTCTATTATTTGTTTATTAATTAAATTATTTCTGCACCACAAGAGTACATTTCTTTTATGTGCCTGTTCTAAATTTTCTTATTTGATCTCTTGCTAGGTTGGTCTTTGTGATGCTATATAAGGGAAAATGTCTAATTTTCTACGACATTTATTAATTAATAATTTACTATGTGTTTTATTATTCATTTATAAATTTTGTATGCTATGTGCATGTGAACTTTGGATTTACTTGGATGTGTCTTATTTTATATGTATCATGTCACCTTCTCTAAAATGTCGTCAGCAAATCTTTGACAGTATATAATTGATGTTTTTGTTCATTTTTTATACATATTTATTTATCTATATATATGACAAAATAATTTTTTATACAATGTTGTGCACGTATGAGTGCCCGAATTAGCTAGACATATATTTGTAAGTACTTAATGGATGACAAAATCCATTTAATTTACAAATTATCTTATTTTAGATCTTATTCTTTTACATTAAGAATTAAGACTTCTATTATTAAAAATATCACCATCATCATCCTTGCCTTTATCCCGTAATTGAAAATATATATGTTACAATTTATAATTCCCCCTCCCCCCCAAACCCCCCCAAGTGAAAGTTCCTAGGTCCACCAATGTATGGAAACGAGTATTCATGGATCGAGATTAGAGGAGAGGTCATAAAGCAAACCTTAGAATATCTTTCCGTAAAGTTGAACTTGAGATAAAGGGCATAGCGCAATGCCACATGAAACGCTTTGCCACTTTTAGATGTAACAAGGACACTTTTCCACTAATAAGTGATAGTGAAATAAACAATTACCTTCACTCCATGAGGAATTTAAATGGAACACACAGTTCACAACACATTAGTATGGCTATGGGATATATGCACCAAACAAACAAATCTGCAAATCCAGTATACTGCACTTGATTCAAAATGAATGAAATGTCCATCCAAATGCTCTCTGTTACATAAATATCCATTTTACCATAAAAATATAGGAAGGATATTAAAATAATTTAAACATTATCCTGTGTCCTCATGTCCCTATATTTGGTCTGGAAATTTGATAAATACGATGCCAACCCATGTGCATTCGACAGGCATAACTAAGTCCGTGTAACATATCCCAACAACATGCAATTGAGTATCATACAAAGACAACTATAGCTCATTCTCAAGTCAGTAAACAAGTTTCACCAACATACATAGTGTCAAACATCTACCAAATAAAAGTCTTAGAAGCTTGAAACTCAATGAACTAACTATAAAAAGTAACGATAGTTTGGCAATTAGAATAAAACAAAAGGAACTTTGATATACCCTCAACTTATATGCAAATGCAGGTAAGGTGGGAAAGATACTTCGATGGTCACACGACTCACATAAGACCACCAAAAACACGACCTAAAGTAAATTATATAATTTTCTGTGACTATAATTTTTGTTTGAGATGTCAAAGATATACAAAGAGTAAAAAATAAGATTAGCCAAAGGGATGAAAAAATTACTACCTGAACTAATTCATCAGTGTTCATAGCGCATGTAGGAAGATGTTCTTCAGGAAGAACACGAATGCTTGCACCAGTTTCACTTCTCAATCTCTGAACGACATCTCCTCTTTTCCCTAGAAGACATCCTACCATATTGTGTGGAACAAGAAGGCGTGTAGTGACAACGTTTTCATTGTCATCTTCATCTTCCATTCCACCGACAAGGTCTTCCTCAATAATCCTGTCGTGAACTTTCAAGAGAGCATCTTGGGCTGCACAATGTGGCTCCATGCAATCATCTTCTTTCTCCGGGACTGCATCCTCATCACTGTGGTTCCTAGGGAGTTTTGTCTGAGGACTATAGATGATTATGACTCTCTCTTCTGAGCCAGGGACAGAATCAGCAACAATTATTTTTGCCTGAGTCTCTTCTCTAAGGGCTTTGACTATCCCACCACCTTTCCCAATAACACTACCAATCTTTCCAGAATGACATAGGATCCGATAGACAGTGTCTGAAGCATTAGAATTTCCAAAAAATTGTTCATGACCAGAGTTATGCCATTTTCCTCTTTTGTTGCCTTCCTTTGTCTTGAAATGGGAGTTAGGGCGTTTTCCAGAAAAGGAACGCCTGTTCCCTTCCATACTCCACAAAAACTATCAGAAAAGCATAAACTACTTGAGCAGGGTCATAACCTGAGGGTTAAAAAGTCATGATAACATCAGAAAACCAAACAGTGTTAAATATATATATATATATATTGAAAGCTGTAACGTTAGCTACAATATGTTTCCTTTATATTAATCCATTCTTATCATGCAGATCCATACAAAGTGCAGTTTCCCAGTTTCAGTTTATTCACACACAATCCCTTCAATATGGAAACCAACCACTCACTTGGACCTACCTAGTCCAACAAATTGTCATTTTTATCATAGTGCCCCCAAGCCCAATCTTTATTTCTATTAGGAAGATTTATAACTAATCCCATATGACATTTCTTTATCTGGTGCCAAATAACAGGAATGGAAAGAGATACAATATTGAAGTTTTAATTTACCACCATACCTCCTCAAATGGCAGGTTGAAGGTTCCACAACTCCCAAAGGCCACTGAGATTATACAATATTCCCCTTAACCTTCCCATTGCGATCCGAATGACCCAGTGAATCTCTTGCAAGATAGATAATTGAAGTCTTGGCTTCTGACCCGCGTTCTAGGGTTCTAAAACCATCCAAAACAAAACATAAAATTGTGAATTCCTCAATCAAACGTATAAAAAGAATCAAATGCCATAAAAAATAATAATAATAAATAAAACCCTAGTACAACAAGAGTGAAAATTGAACTGGTTTGAGTACGAACAAAAATTTCAGTTTACGAGTGTTTAGTTGCCACAGAATTTATACGACCAAATCTTGATATTTCAATGCAACAAAAGAAAAGAACTCGATTGAGCTCATTTCTTAAAAATCCTCCAGAATTAACCGATTCAACAGCAATATATAAAGAACAATAGTCTGAACAATAGGCTTAATAATATCGTCCATGAAATAACTAGATCAGAATTTCCAGGCAATGCTTAAAGAAAATTGTATTTTCCCTAGAAAAGTAATAACAAAGAAGGAAAATCTGGGGAGTAATTGTAGACCTACCACGGCAAGTGAGCGAGATTTAGAGAGAGTGAGAGTTTTTAAACACACTCTGATTGCCTCTAGCCGGAACTGTGATCTGAGAGGGCGGAAAATGGCGGAATAGGGGATCGTTATCGCTCTGTTCTCTACACTCTTCTTCATTCAACGGCAATGGGCTGGTCCATTACCTGTTCTTGGGCCTACATGGATTTTTTTTTTTTCTCTTAACAGTAACATTTTTTATTTTTTTGGGGTGGTGCGAGGGATGTTAATTCTTTTTAAAAGAGACGAGGTTATTGGTAGGCAGAAGGCACGACAGTTTATGTGATTTCAAATTATTTTGAGCACCAAGTGATTTTTGAAAAAGGCAAAAAAAAAAAAATCTAATTTTAAAGAACAATCATTTATTTTTTTCAAAAACATTTTTTTTTAAGTAAAAGTTTTAAAGCAAAATCTCCAAAGCAGGACAGATGTACATTCATGGCAACAGGGGCAATTGCCGCCAGAATTTTATTTCTTAGTAGTCTATTCTTGTAACTTGTTTATTTTTAGTAATATATCCATTAAATATTATATTTGCCCCCTCTAAATTTTCAATAAAAATGCACTATTGCCTCCCCAAAATATATTTTTGCCCTCCTGGCTCCATCCCTGATCCAAAGGCATTTTTAGAGGTCAAACAAAGTTTTAAGTTGAGGGTATCTCTTTATCCATACTTTATTTTTCTTTTCTTTTTTCATGGTAAAAATGTTAAGGGTCCAGTAGTTACTAGTTCCATACTTTATTTTTCTTTTCTTTTTTCATGGTAAAAATGTTAAGGGTCCAGTAGTTACTAGTTAGTGAGGAGCTGGTGGGAAGGCTTAAAGCGGGGCTTATAGCAACCCTACTCAGAGGCACACGCTGTTCGAATTGAATCAATTTGAAAATATTTTTGAAATCAAATCGTTCTTAACAGTTCAACAAAAATTAAAACCGAACCAAACCGTAAAATCAATTAAATCGAACCGAACCTAACAATGAGAAAAACGGTTTGATTTAGTTTGGTCCCACAGTTCTAGGTTTTTTGTAATTCAATCTAATATATATATATATATAATAGAACTATATATTATGTATTATGTATAATTTAATATATATTATGTATAATTTAATATAACTTTCAATTATAATTTATATATTTTTTATTATAATATTATGATATTTTGTTGAGTGGTTAAAAGATTAATCTTATTATTCTATAATTTTTATATAAAATACGAGATATATAAATATATATACAAATTATAAAACAGCTTTATTTGATCTTGTAGAACCTCAAACCGTGAAAAAATCGAACCAAACCAAATTTACCGGTCAAATCTGATTCGATTTATCGATTCAGTCAATTTTTTTTTTTTTTTTTTTGGCACCCCTAAACCTACCGTTTGGACTACAAAGATGTTCGTCTTTATCCAAACTCCCTAAAAACATACACTTTAAATCACTTTCTTCAATTAAAAAATATTTTTACATAAATTCTGTGTTTCAAAGAGTTCTCGAGAACAAACACTTAATCGTAGGTAACCTTTGCCTGTTTCCAATTAATTATCTACACCTTTTCTTTTTCTTTTTTCTACTGAATTACTTTTTTAATGGTTGATAGTTAGAATAAATCATCTCTGTAATAAAATTAAATTAAAATTTATTTTGAAAGCGTCTCTTTCCTTAATAAACACACAATGATTGAAAATATCAGCCCAACCTTATGCGTAAACACCGACATTCTAAAACTGAGTGTCTAATTATTGTCATTGGTACTTTTTCATCAAGCATTTGCTTTATATGTTAAATTTTATCTCTCTGAATGTTCCAGTTATTGTAAGATTTTTTTATAGATTTGTATCATTTGTTATGGCTTTATCAAAATATTTTGTTCTTTTTAAAATGTTTTAAATCATTTTTTATAGATTTGTATCATTTGTTATGGCTTTATCAAAATATTTTGTTCTTTTTAAAATGTTTTAAATCATTTTTTAAAATTTTGATGTAAACATTAGTTAAATTCTTATTTGTTTTACCATTTATATTGTTCTTTCAAAGTGGATAATTAACTCAATTACATGGACAGGTTACTTCTATTAGTTCCCTAGTCCTTAACCGTCTATATATATATATATTTTTCTCTATTCATATTCATGTAAATATTCTGTTGATAATGCTACTAAACTATATGTATGTAATCACACATTATATATATATATAAGAAATATAAATTATCAAATATTATAAATGAATGCGATTTACTTCCAAAATTTACAATTTTTTTATTATTACATAAATTACCGAGTTAAACAAAGCATTGGTGAAAATTCTCTCTTTCATAAATATAACATCCAAAGTTTGTCACAATACATAGATCACATTTCTTCGAAAATAAATAACATCAGTTCTTTATTTTTTTTCTTAACAGACAGCATTCGACACAATTCGGATGTGAAAACGAAAAAGAAGATGATATGGATATGAAAAACTAAAAAATAAGGAAATGAGTTATGAAAAACTGAAAAGATAAGGAAAGGAAAAGGGAAATATTTTAATGAAAAATAAACAAGAATAGTATTAGTAATGATTCATATTTAAGATGAAATTTTAGAATAATCAAGTCATATTTATGTCAGTTTTAAGTCGGTTATTAAAATCGCCAATAATATCATTTTCTATTTTATTTACATAGGTATCACTTTTTTTGTGCAACACAAGAAAGTGGTACCTGATGACAAAAAGTGGTACCTATGTGCCTAAATCTTCATGAGGGGGTAATCAGTGTTTTTTTATGTCTTCATTTTTTCAAAATTAAGAGACTTTGACTCTATCAAATGGTAAATATGGGTCATTAGCATAATTTATATATAATAATTCCCAAATATTATCTATCTATTTTTTATTTTTTTCCTACTAACGAGTTAGTGGTCCAACAGTACTAAACCCATACTTCTCAGAAGAAGATCACTTCTCAAAGAGAATGTCAGGACTTCAAGCCTTAGTGGAAGTCACTTCTCAAAGAGAATGTCAGGACTTCAAGCCTTAGTGGAAGTACGGTATGTGTTTATTACCAACTAAAAAAAATTAAATGAAAGTGACCGTGGATGATTAGAAAAATAAACTTTTGATTATATAGAATTACTTATTTTGAGGAAAATTATAAGAATGTTGTAAATTGATATAAGAAAAAAGACAATACTTGCATCCAACCCAGGTTGGTTGAAATTTGTCCAACCTGGGTACGTGGCCCAATTAAGACATGACATGTATCATAAATTAATATTAAATTCAGTTAAACATTGCCCATCAATTTTCTTAATTCATTCTCTTTGCCTCGCTGCCGAGTCAGCTCCTCCATCTTTGACTGCCTCAGATCCAATTCACGTTTGGTGGCTGTTGGGGAAAAAGCAACCAGCGTTAAGGTGGAAATAAATATTCGCTTTAAATATATACATAAATATATATGAAATGGAAATCTCCTCCACCCACGAAGTGATGTGCCCTCCCTAATCTTTCGGTATCAGATTGAACATCACAGCCCGTCGCTGAAATCGAAAATTTCAACGACTCCAGGTGCCGGAACTCCTCCATAGCTGCTTCGGAGAGACCGTTTCGCGGTCACACGAATCGGTCTACTTCTACCCCAACGAACCCGATCCCCTCCAACTCGCTCCTTCGGCGGTTTGTCGACTCAAGATCCGGATTGTGAAAGGTTCGATGGATCGCGAATGCGGCGGTGGGGAACTACTCAGCGTGTTTGCTTGGGAAAGCCCTAACCTGCAACTATCACATAGGTTCGAATTACCTCAAAATCGACATCGACGTTGGGAGCTCGCAAATCACGAATACGTCTTGCATTTGGCGTTGGGTGCGTGACGGCGGTGAGCTGCCGGAAAGATTATTCTAAGTGTGAGTTTTTTCTATTTTAACGGCCATCGATTATAGATCCAGCGAATAGTCTATTTTTATTTGGCTTTCGGTGGTGACTATTGGTATGCTTAGTCGTGCAATTGGAGATGAATCTTCTCAAGCACAACCATGGTTTTATGAGGCGTAGGTAAGTGGTTGTCTCTATCGCCGGCAGTGGTGACGGTTGTGTTATTCTTGGTGGGAATCGCTGCCGGGTTAACAGTGTCATTGATGTGTTTGTTGGCTGGGTGAGAGATAAAAGAAAGAGAAAGGAGGTCAAGACTGGCGGCGGCGGCGGCGGCGCCGGTCCGAAGATATATTGTTGGAGAGAAAGCAAAGCAAAAAAAACACAAAACAAAACAAAAATTTTTGCCGGGTCAAACCCATTTAAATTGGGTAATACCCAACTTAAATTGAATAGTGTATTTGGACAGGTGTCATGCATTGATTGGACCACGTATCCAGATTAGACAAACTTCATAGGTTGGATGCAAGTATTGTCCTAAGAAAAATACTTATAAAATAGTAGTTCCAAAACGAAAATCCATTTCTACATAAATACATATAATTAGTCTTATGCATGAGCCCATTTGTGTTGATTAAAAATGAGTTTCGTAATCCCTTTTTGATAGAATTACTGACACAATGCAAACAACCAAGATTCAAAGAAAGAAAGAATTAGTAATAAGACGAGTAGTAGGCCAATGAAAACAAGATGTAAACAGCCGATACATAATAGGAGATAGCTTTGGTGCGAGGTTTGACATGAAATGAGGTTATATTGATGTGTTAGAATTGGAATTTAGTATAGTTGAAAAAGAAAAAAAAAAAAATTAGTTCAAAATTATAGAAAATTGATTTAATATTTTTTAATTTCATGTAGCTGAACATGGTCTGATAATATTTGTCTATAAATTTGAAAAGTAGAAAAAATATGTAAATTATTCATTATTCAGCAACCTAATTGGTCCAACTCTCCCAAAGATGTGCCATAATTTGAGAATAAAAAAGTTCTCAACTAACAATAATAAAAGAGTGAGAAAGAAAAAAGAAAAAAAAAAAAAGAAAAAGAAAAAGAACAAACAATGAGAAATTAAATAATTGAAATTTTATTTAAGAAAAAACATAAAGAGACAAAATAATGACAAAAAAATTATAATAATATGTAATAATTATATATTATATTAATAATATATTTTCAATGTGAACGTATTTTAATTTTTTGTAAAGGGAGCATATCATATCATATTAACCGATCGACCATATATCATATCTATTTTCTTTAGGTAAGGAATTATTTATTTCATGTTATATACTAATTGTGAACGGCATCAAAATTCATCCTCTGTTTTTTTTTGTTTTTTTGTTTGATTCAATGCTATACGACATGTCTGAGCAAAGAATGGTCTCGAAGCCCTATGACGACTACTGTAGATGATACTAATTGAAAGAGAGTGTGCCAAGGAAAAAGTGACCAAAAATAAACCAATTAACATCACACATTCATCATGTGCTTTCAATTCGGATGAGAAAAGGTTTACGGCCACGGGAACACCCACCACGTGGCACACTGATTGTGGTGATTGATGATAAGGTTAGTTTCAAAAACTTTGCAACCCATCAGCCACACGATCCTATGGCCACAGTTTATTTTTGATCGTTAGATCCAATATAAGGGCACTTCATTTTCTTTATATATATAGTACAAGGCAATAGCGCCCAATGCCTTCTTAGAGGACTTGGCTCAGTAAACCAGCAGAGAAGAGTCAACCGAAGTTAAACAAATAAATGGCTTCCTCCATGATCTCCTCTCCGGCCGTTGCCACCCCGGCCCAAGCCAGCATGGTTGCGCCGTTCACCGGCCTCAAGTCTACCTCGGCTTTCCCGGTCACCCGGAAAACCAACAATAACATTACTTCTCTCACTAGCAATGGCGGGAGAGTGCAATGCATGAAGGTACATAGTGCCACAGTTGCCACTTCACACTTGGGATACTCAATACTATCTTTTTCGGTTTAATATTAATAAATATTGAGTGAGTCCGACATACCGACTTATATTAGATCTTGTGAATGCAGGTGTGGCCTCCCGTTGGGATGAAGAAGTTCGAGACACTTTCATACCTCCCACCTCTCACACAAGTGCAATTGGCCAAGGAAGTCGATTACCTTCTTCGATCAGGATGGGTTCCTTGCTTGGAATTCGAGTTGGAGGTTAATTAATTTCACTTCTTTAATTTATACTCTCATATATATATATATATATGTATGTGTATATATTCTATAAACCAATTAATTAAGTTACAAAAGATGATTGATATTTTTGTGTTTGTAGCACCCTTTCGTGTACCGTAAGAACCACAGCTCACCGGGTACTATGACGGACGGTACTGGGTGATGTGGAAGCTACCCATGTTTGGATGCACGGATTCTTCTCAGGTTTTGAAGGAGTTGGAGGAGGCGAAGAAGACATACCCTAGTTCCTTTATTCGGATTATTGGATTCGACAACAAGCGCCAAGTGCAGTGCATCAGTTTCATTGCCTACAAGCCTCCGACTCCTGTCTAAATTTATGACTCACCACCTTATGAGAGTCCTCACTTTGTTTTGATTGAACTTTTAGGTTTTTTTTTTTTTTTAAAAAAAAAAAATTTATCTCTTCAATGTATGTTTTCCAGACCTCCAATGAAGAGGAGGAGCTTCCAAGCAATAAATTATTGTTCATCGTCAATTTACAGATGGTACATTCATTTTTCAGACACTTTTTTTTTTTTTTTTTTGGCGCTAAATTTTCATTTTCTTCAAGAGCCAGACCCTCGATTAATTTACATAATTAAATTTTAGCCTACTAATTTTGGATGCAATTTTGGAAGGATTAAAAGCATTTAAAAAAAAAAAAAAACACACACACACCCCCAAACAGGAATCCCATGAAGTGTCTTAATATTCAATTTTGTCGATATCACTCATGCTCATTGGTAAGTGCTAGAACATTATAGAATGTAGATTCTAACTTCTCAGTCCCTTTCTCGTGCAAGTTAATTGGTAGGGTCACGCAACAAAATAGGAAATGACCATTTCTACAAAATATTGCAATTGACTGTTTCTTTTTAAGTGTTAACTTTCTCGTGATTGGTAGGACCTTTTGGAATAACCATTCATTTTCACAAAATGTTAGAATGGCTATTCATTTAAAAGAGTTAAGGATTCCATCAGAGAATCAAAATAAGATAAACAGATGAAAACGCCCTCACCAAACATGTGTATAATACATTTACATATATTATATATAACATTAACATGTATATTATATAAATATCATGTGAAATTATGTATTTTAATTTATTATATAAAACTTTAATAATACATATTGTTTTTAGATTTTAAATGTTATTGAAAATATACATAATATATTATATAATAAAAATATAAAATAACTCATATAATACTGTATATATATTATATTATCATAATTTATTATATATATATATATATAATTATTAATAAAATATGATATTTTAGATATAGTATATATACTTGGTAAAATAAATATTCTAAATTATTTGCTAAATTTATTCTAAATCATTTACCAGCCTTAATTTAGAAATTTAAATTCAAGTAGCATCTTTAATAAGCTTACATCTGAGAGCTGCGTTTGCGGCCATGCCTCGATGAATGAGATAAAGCTAAAAGGATAAAAAGTGTTTCTCTTTGTAACTTCCATTACCATGTTGTATACTCAATATCTTTTTTTTTTTGGGGGTAAATCATTTCATTAAAACATGTTTTCCATAAACCAATAAATAAATAATGTCAATATGTTATGGGCCTTAAAAGATTAGATGACCTAAAATTTGTGGCAATGACCATTTTTTTTTTTGGAGCAAGGACAGTAAAATCAATAAATTGAACAAATTTCAAAAGGTACATGATGTATGGAGTCTATGGACTATATTACCTCTAAATAGCGATAATCCTAATCCTTTTCCTAAACACACAAAGAAATATATAAATTATACACACACACATATATATATATATTTTATCAACGGGTTAGTGACCTAACGGTATCAGTCTCTTTGGAAAGTGGGTTCAAATTTCAGAAGAGATAAATATATATGAGTACCAACTAGAATATTTTTTCCTGATGTTCTTGTGAGTAACTAGTAAGGGCTGTCAATGGATCACACATTGCACACTGCATCTAAAATTCCGAATTTTGTTGTCAGTAGACTCAATAGTCAATACCTATGAAATCGAAGTTGATTTGTTTTAGAAAATGAAGATATCAATTAATTAACTTTTATGAAATGGTTTCAGGGGATTCAACCAATTGTGTGGACGATTTCATGCTTTTATTTTCAGTATGGAATGAGTCAATCATCCACTTTGGTAGCTTAATAATATTCCTCCATTGATCAATAATTTCACTTTTTTTTTTAAAAGTATCATGATCATTCAATAAGAAGGGTTTTTATTTTTTCAAATGAACGATTTGAAAATTTATTGATTCATAATAACGGATTGCAGAGTTGATCATTTCGACTTTTTAATTCATAACAACTGATTGCAGAGTTGATCATTTGTACCTTTCAATTAATAGACATAGGAACTATGAATGAGGAGATTCCGAAACTAACAAATAAAAAAAGAAATGAGCTAGACAAAAATAAATAAAAAAACACAAATTGAACCTTATATAACTAAATAATAAAACAAATTGAACCTAATATGACTATATAATAAATTTATTTGAATTCAAACAAATATATATTTGAGTGTAAACTACTAACAAGTAATTAACTAAATATTTGTCTTGCCTTTAAAAATATATATATGTAGTATAGGAAAATGTAATAAATAGTAATTTTACTAAAAATAATACTTAGTCGAGAGTGCCTACGCTAACATAAAAAGAGTTATAATTGTCGGACTTTTAATCATTGTATCATAATTGTAATTTTAATTGAGTCATGTTATTCATTGTAACGCTTGAAATAACTGAATACTCACATCTTTTGCGAGCCCACCGTATTGGAAGCAGCAATGCTAATCACCGGGAGTGATTGATTGTATAGAATGTCTCAATGACATTTTAATTAGTTTCAAATAGGGGTAAAATGTGGGGACACTTCCAAGTCACCATGAGTTATTGATTGTATCGAGCCTCTCAAAGACATTTTAATTCGTTTCAAGTAGGGGTGAAATGTCACGACGGTGGGTTATAAACTTATATTGAATACAATTGATTAAGGTTAGTTTATAATAATTTTTTTTTTTTGAGTGTTTGGTTGTAGTAAAATATTTAAGAAAAAAAATATTAAAATTTAACAAAAATAATTTAAACATAAATTTTTGATAAGTTACGACCTTAGACCTTTACTAAATATCAAAATAAAAATTAAATATCTTATTTTAAAAAAATATTTTTCAACAAAAATATTTTATGCCGAAACAAATTCAGCCCGTAAACTGAATTCAATTTGCAGAAATTTTCAATTCAAAGTCGAGTTCGGACTTTCGGATCAGCTGCGGTTCTGTTATCGGGCTCGTTAACGGCCCTGGCCCATTTGTAGACTCATTAACCAGAGAGAATCCATCTGACAATCTGACGGCCCACACTCAATACATCCCCACCGTCCAAAACTAGGGCGAAAATCTTCCTATCGTTCTACCCTTTTAAACCCTCTGCTCACCACCTTCATTCGCCTGCTCTGTCAATCTTCGTGGCCAAAGTAGGGTTTTCTCTTTCCTCACCGATCAAGTCGACCTAAGCTTCTCCTTAAGGTGTGTGTCCCTCGTAGTCACTGAAGCGTTTCATTTGAACTCTCATAAGGTTCTAAATTTTCATTTCAAGTCATTTTATCATGGATCTAATTTGCGAATGATTTTCCATCATGTTGAAACGATACTGATTTATTTCGATATGTTTTACATATATATATGTAATTAGTCCCGATATGTTTTACATATATATTTATGTATATCTTATTGCTTTATACATTTATATTATCCAAGTAAAACTATGATTTTAGATTGTTGTTATCGGTGTTGGGTAGTATTCGTAATTAGATAGAAGTTTCGGCTGGTTGAGCCATTTTATTGCATGATAATCTACTATTGTTTTTGTTTGATTTTAAATTTATTAATGTGTGTTGGGTGCAAAATTGTCTGGGTCATAAGAAAATGGATTTGTTCGTCTAATGATAGTCTATGAATCACAGAGGTAATTCTACAACTATGTTGTTGGTTTCTTGTTCCAACTTTGGGTGATTGCAGTTTCATGCGTTTATGTTGTCATTGCTAGTGTCTTTTGCACAGGTGTTGTCTAGATTTCATTGATTTATATTACCTATCCTCTTGGTACAAGTGATATCTTAGTCACCATTAATTTATCTTACATTGACAAGATAAGTTTTGAATGATTTCCAGTCGGTATGTCAAAATTCTTGTATGAAATGTATGGATGAAAGCACCTAATGTTATCTCAGCTCTCCCAATGAGAGATGTGTTAGGCACTGTGACATATCTACTTCTATGTTGATGCATATGGAATGAATGATATCATGCTCTATATTCTCTCACTTCTTTCTTTAGGTGAAACTGAAATCGAGTCTGATCAAAGGTCCTCAAAGGTCCCTTATTTACTTGTGCCACATTGTAAACCGGATTCCCTTTGTGCTTCTATGCACCCCTTTGGGCCCTGGCTACTGTTGAATGGCATATAGCCTTTGTCATATAAGCTTTTATTCTTTCTTTACTTTTTTTTATGGTAATCGTATGGGAAGCAGACTGTTACTTATCCCAACGTACATTGAACATGTGGCTGATCTTTGTTTGCATTAGCAAATTCCATGGGAAGAGGACACACTCTAGTCCGTTTATTTATTTATTTTCCAACTTTGATTTTTCCAAAGGTTTCAAAATAGGAATGAAAATAGGAATTATATATGGGGTAAAGGTTTCCTAATTGACATATAAAATCATTTTAGCTTGTGTTGTGGTCATGGCTCAAAATGTTGAATATCTGCAGTATGCATTTTTTTTAGCTGTCAACTTGGGTATTGTTCCTTTATGGTACACCTGAAAAGCTTTCTTTCTTGATTATTATTCTATTTTTGTAATGTGATAGATTTTGTTTACCTTTTAGGAGTGTTGGAATACAATTATTCTATGGGGTTTCTAAATTTCAAACATTACAAAGTAATGGGATGCAGATGTTAATAGAACAAATACTTATAAAGAAAGTAAGAGAGAATAATATTAAGAAATCAAGACAATCGCAATTATTTATCTTCTGTATAGGATTATTTTATGTTGTTAAATCCTTTTATAGATTGATAATTAATTGTTTTACAATTGTGAGCTATAACTCTTGATTGCAATTCTTAAAATCAGATCCTTGAAGATGTATACTTCAAGGAGGAAGATTCAAAAAGACAAGGATCTTGAACCCACTGAATTTGAGGAGACTGTTGCACAGGTAATTTTGGTCTTGAAGATAATTATTACCTTACTCTTTATTATATATTAATGTAATATCATTTATTCAAGATTTTACTCTTTGTTGTCTATACATACAGGCTTTGTTTGATTTGGAAAATACAAACCAGGATCTCAAAAGTGAGTTGAAGGACCTTTACATTAACTCAGCAGCGTAAGGATTGGACTGGTTGCATAGATAATTTGACCTCTTTTTTTTCCTCTTGCTCGGCATGAATATATTTGATCTTCTTTTTTGCAGTCAATTTGATGTCTCTGGAAATCAGAAGGCTGTTGTCATTCATGTTCCTTATAGACTGAGGAAAGCTTTTCGAAAGGTTCACCTTAGGCTTGTCAGGGAACTTGAGAAAAAATTCAGTGGGAAGGTAAATCTCGAATTTCCTTGAATCTAATGTTATCAACTTCAAAGATGAAGAATTGCTATATATATATATATATATATATATATATCATGACTCAAGAGACTCCGTTTTGCCATGCTAAAATGATTCTTCTTACATCTTAGTAGTAATTTTCAGTTCATTATAAAAATATTTCTTGCTTGTGTTTTTGCTTCTTATAGTGAAAGTATCTGTATGACTGTATAGTGTACTTGTTTAATGCTAGCAAATTTATTTTTAAACCATTTGATTTGCATAATGATTTTAGGGTAAAGTGCAAATAACCCCCCTGAACTATGGGGAAATTTGCAACTAACCCCCTGAACTACCAAAAATGCAAAAAACCCCTCAAACTATACAAAAAAGTTGCAGATCACCCCATCCGGTGACCGGCCGTCCAAAAATGAGCGCGTGATTCACACGCGACAGACAAACTAAGTTTTTTGGACAATAATGCCCTTCTATATATGAAAATACCAAATTATCCTATAACCACCACCACCGTCGTCTACGACCACCACCACCTTCTGCAACCACCAACATAACCACCACCACCGTCCGCAACCACCAACATAACCACCACGAAACCCTCCTGAACTCATGCCAAAACACACCGTTAAACGAAATCAAACCCACCACCATCACTACCACCTCCATCGGCATCTCAACGGCACACCACCAAACCCAATCAAACCAGTACACAAACCCACAGCCACCACCCCAATCCCGCCACCACCATCACCCGTCATCACCAACCACAGCCTAACCTTCTCTCCATCAAACCCATCACACACCGTGAAACCAAACCCCCACTAACCCACTGCCATCACCCCCTTCAATCACAATCTCTGGTTCTCCCTCGGGAACGAAGGCGGTATGGAACTGCTACTCGGTGGCGTCGAATTCCGGTCTGATAGCGGAGCACTAGTATGGGCGGCGATGGATCCGTATGCGAGCAACGAAGCTTTCAATTGCAGCAACGGCGATCTGTTCAAGTGGAAGCACTTGTGGAGAATGATTGCGGAGTAATTTGGGGTCGATGAAAACGAGAAGTGGGTGACCGTCCCGATCGGAACAGGGAGGTTGGTGGATGAGGCGAAGCTCGGCCGCTGTGCAGCTAAGCCGCAACCAGCCCATCGCCGCGAGTTAACCATGGCCGAACCAGCCCATTGCCGTTCAGCCCACCTTGCTCGCCGGTCCTCTCCACCATCCGAGCTCGTTCCAGCTGTCACCGCAAGAGACGGTGGCGGGGCAGGCGCAGGAGATGACGGCAGCGAGATCCCAGCGGCGACGAGGATGATTTGGGTTTTGACGCGTCGACTCCGCATCGTCACCATAATCGCCGACTTACCTCCTCTTCCGTCACCATAATCGCCGCCGCCGCCACCATCTTTTTCCTTCATTTTCTTCATGATTCAATCTCCAGCCTGATGCTTCTCTCTCTCTTCAATCTCCAATGTTATATATATATATAAACACATATATATAAATTCAGTTTAAAACCAGAAAAAAAAAAAAAATATATATATATATATATATATATATATATATGTTTATTTATTATTTTATTTCTTTATATATATATATATAATCATAAGGGCAATTCAGACTTTTTATTTTTCCGGTTAAGTCGGTCACCGGAATGGACTGAAATGCAACAAATTCATAGTTTAGGGGGTTTTTTTTAGTTTAGGGGGGTTAGTTGCAATTTGTCAATAGTACAGGGGGGTTATTTGCACTTTACCCATGATTTTATCACGATGAGATTTTAGTTGGAATGAATTGAGATAAGATGTATCCTAACTTGGGTTTTTACTTCTGTTTCCTTCATACTTCTAAGCGTTTACATTTCCCTAAATAAATTCTGATTCCCAAGACCAATTGAAATTCAGTTTGATGTCTTGCATCAAGGTTGAAAATTTGCTTTTAACTATGAGGTTCCCCCTCTAGGCTGTTCTGCATGTTTTATTGAACACCCATTTTTTATTGGCAGGATGTTGTTCTTATTGCCACACGAAGGATAGTGCGACCACCAAAGAAAGGTTCTGCTGCTCAAAGGCCTCGCTCCCGAACACTGACAGCTGTCCATGAGGCCATGCTTGAGGACGTTGTTTATCCTGCTGAGATAGTTGGAAAACGCATCAGATACAGGATTGATGGATCAAAAATAATCAAGGTACATGCTAGCAATTTGATCAGGAGGGGAATAAAAATTCTCTTAATACTTTTTTCCCATGAGTAATTCTCTTACCATTTACATTCTATATAAAGTTTTCCTGCATGTGACAGATTTTCTTGGATCCGAAGGCACGCAATGACACCGAGTACAAACTACAGACGCTCGCTGGAGTTTACAGGAAGCTTTCTGGGAAGGATGTAGTCTTTGAATACCCGTTAACAGAGGCTTAAAATATGCTGTTGTTGAGCTTTTCTGTTTGGGGTGTTTTTTTTGGGGGGGTTTTTATTTTTATTTCTTATTCTTGGGTTAAAGATTTTCTATGAATTGCAGTTGTTATGGTATTTGAAATTTTGACTCGAGTAAGAAACGTTTATGAAATTTCTATCATTTTCGGAAGGCTTCAGAATTTTTACTAATGTTTGGTTGTTTAAAAGATTGTAAAGTTCTCTCTCTTTAGGTTATAGTAGCTTCTTGATATATAATATATAGCCTCTCTATAGGCTATAGGTGATGCTTGACTCAATATTAGTGGTGGACCAATTGGTGAGTTATTGGATGAATTATTTCATACCACAAAGAAGAATAAGTCCCACAATGAATTTAGATTTAGATATATGTCAAGGGGGTATGTCACACAATTCTTCTACTACATGGGTGCCTCTCCTCTTATGCAATAAAAATTAAATAAAATAAGATCATCGACTAACAATTAAGAAAAAAATGAATTGTTGTGTCTGTTTAATAATAAATGTGTCCATTTTATTTCCCTGGAGTGGTAATGTAATTAATCAAATATTATACACAAACGGTGAGCAGAAGAAAGATAGAGCTGATTGTCCTAACATTTGCTATGAGCTGGTTCAAACATATGTGTAACAATTGTTCAAAAGCCACTCAAGTGGCAGCTCGATGGAGGTTATCAAACACACACGGTTCACATAACCATTAACCATACATGTCCTTAATAAAATTATAACAAATTGATCTTCACAAATTAACATTCCATATTGCATTGACAATCGAATCACACAACTCATTCGCTTCGCGAAATCAATTCTGGGTAACATCAATTATAATCACACAAACTCATTTGCTTTACGAAGTCAATTCTGGGTAACATCAATTATAATTTGTATATACCTTTATGTGATATGGCGAGAAGTTATTTTCTTTACTTCAACACACTTCATAAACACTCCGGAATCATCTGCCATCCCTTCCCAGCATGCCATGACAAAAGTAACATGCATCCATGACATTTGTGGAAGTGTTTGATTTCCTCCCACGAGAGGGAACATATGCAAATACATGGTAAGCGAGTAATGCATGATAAAAAATGAACAAGTAACTATGTAATAAAACAACCCAAAATATCTTACGTTAAAAAAAAAAGAAAATGCAAGAGGTCCCCAAGAACATTCAAACAACCCAAATACCTCATTACATTGTCAAATCCAAACTAGATAGTCACTTACTACATGGCTATCACTCAAAACTGCTCTATAAAGAGTCACTGCAAGCAAACAACAAGAAGGCCCTCAGACGATCATTAACCACGCCTTCCTCATGCCTTCTGGAACTCGAAGAAAGAACTCCCTCCAAGTTGCATCCTACCAAGAGCTTTTGCAGTTTGTGCATCCTCAAGGCCCTCAATTGCCTCTAAAGCCCTAAAACACTCATCACCAAATGTGTCCCATCTACCTTTGAAGACCCGGACCGGATTCACAATCAGTAGCAGGCATGCTCTTGTGAGCAGTGGAGAAAGCATTTGAGGAAATGGGTGCTGGGCCTAAGTTTGCTATTGCCTCAAGCCTCATTTTTGAATTCTCACAGAATCTATCCATCGCTCTATCCATGCTCTCTACAAAACTCTCTCTCTTTACCCTATGACCACCATTCAGGGATTGACGACGTACGCTCCCTCTTAGCTGCCTTCTTGGGCGCAGGATTATCATTCTCATAACTATTTGAGGGGATTATGGTGGTGGGATGTGCCTTAGAGCCAGTTGCAGTTGTTCCATCAAACATGAAACACAACTTATCATAGTTCCTTTTTGCCCATAAAGTAAGCATCAACAACCAAGAGTTCCTTTTTGCCTCCAAATAATCTATAAGGACACCAAATTATGTGAATCCAAGAAAAACAATCATAAAGCTATGACTTTGTGTGTTTGTGTATGAATTTATAATATATATATATATATATATATATCCCTTAAGGTTAAATAATTGGAAAACATTCCAAAAAAAAATGTTCAAGAGATGAAGACTATACATGTAAGATATGTAAGTATGTATATTGTAAAAAAAAATTATTTTGTTTTCAATATATGGGCATGATTAAGTTGTATAAACTTGAAAAAATGAAAAACAGGCACATCATCCAAAAACAAAGACAAATAATTTTCTGGGTATCAAAGGGATAAAAATACTACTCCGCATATAATTCAACTGGAAAAACAAAAGGAAATGAATAGGAAAAAGAAAAATTAAATAAAATATCATTGAAGGCAACATAACAACACTCCACTTAGGCTAGACCCCGACCTCTCTTTGAAAAGTAGGGAATCAATGACGTTTTAGTTACATACATTTATTCCCTCCTAAGTCCAAACTTTGTAATGGCTTACTTTTTTATTTTATATTTTTGAAAAAAATTCACTTATCCACATGCTATTTTACTTCTCCTCTCTCTAAACTTAAATGGTCTGAAATGACTTTTTTTTTGGGTTACAAAAAAACAAGGGCATCTCTGAAAAGATCGACAAGTATAGGGTCAGTAGCATTAATTAAAGAAAATAAGGATTCGTAGCAAAGAAATGCGAAAAAAGAGGGTCCCTTCTTTAATAATAAAAAAACTAGTCGGGTCCTTTCCAAAAAAGCCCTATAATCTCCGAACTTGAAGCTCTAGTAGTCGAACGACAATGGCGGAATCGATTTGCAGAGCTCTTCGCGACGGTGCGTTAGAAGGAGAACACGCACCGGCTCTTACCATAAAAGACTCCATCCACTCACCTTTCGGATCCGATGTCTTCAATCATCTTCTCACCCAACTCTCCACCAACATTTTGGCGGGAAAATCACAGTCACGGTCAGTTCAATTCATATAATATAAGAACCCTAACCATAGTTTAGTCATTTTATGTTCTTATCAATTTCCCACTTTTGACTGTACCTTTAGAGGTCTTGTGCTCGTTGCTCTGTCCCGGAGTCCATCCTCCTACGTTGATTTGTTGAAGAACAGCAGAGACTATGAAGTTGATTCGTCACATAAGTGGTTAGACTGATAATTTTTTCATGCTTTGTTAGTTGAATATTTTGTATTTTGGATTCTTTTGATGTGTGGGAATGTATGAAATAAATTTCTGCACAGGCTTAGGGTTTTGGATTGTTATACGGATCCTCTTGGTTGGAAGGATCGGCTTATGGAGTGTGGAAGGGTTAACAATGGCTCTACAGAAGCTTCAATTACGATTAGCTCATTTAAGGATGTAAGAAATTTGGATAAATTGTTCTCTTCAATTCTTGAGTTGGGAAAAGGTATGATTGTACACTTGTGACCTACTAAATGACATTAAACAAAACATTACTTCTGGAATTAGGTGTACTTTTATCTTTCCATATATTGGAAACCTCGGGTTTCATATTAGAGGGAAATGATGGTAAACAGAAATATTTTAGGATACCTTTTTTATTTTGTATTGTAAACTTTGAGTGTAATACTATATCTTATCATAAAATGCGCATTTAACGATAATCAAGTTTCATTCTTAAGCATTCATATATTTCCTGTTGTCAGTTTGATTGTTCACATAAATACTTGGTGCATGGTTGTTTGTGGTTACAGGATTGGTTGGACCGCAAAAAATTCGGTTCTCAGTTGCCATTGATTCGGTAATCACCCATTCCATGATTGAGAGTTTTGATTACTGACAGTGATATGTATATACTGGTTAGCCTTGTTGAATTAATTACAATATGAAGAGAATTAATCACAATATGAAGAGAAATGAATGAAAGCAGACAATAAATTCCAGGATTGAGAGCCTTGCAATAATAATTAAAGAAGTAAAATAAGACCTTTCTATCTTATTATTGAGTGTAGAGAGAAAAACTCCTCCGAAAGCTCCACAGTTGGTGGAAGGGGAAGTGGCCGATAATTCGTCGTCTTGCTCAATTGAACTCACAGGGACGACTTCTTTTTCCATTGTCATTTCCCTTAGATTTATGAACTTATCTTGGCCAATATAGAAGTATAGACGAGTTGGCCTTTTGGACTATATTAGCTGGATTTGATTGCTTCGTCTTGTTGTCCCACTTCAACTGGTAACAATTGGAGTTATTTGGCGACATTAGAAAGGTGTAAAATTTTGTCGAATTCAATTCCAGGCACTTTAAAGTATTTTGCTAAAACAATAGTTTAGAAGTAGTTGTTTTGTTTTACCAAAATTGAAAGAAACAAACTATCAGGGTCAAATGTTCTTTTGCTTGTGTATGCCTGCCATTGTTATAGCTCTCCCTCCCTCTCTTAATTATGAAAAAAATATAGCTCTCCCTCTCAACATATATGTAATGGATATTTTTCATATGTTTTCAGGTATCTGAGATGCTAAGATATGCATCAATATCTTCAGTTGCAGGCCTTTTAAGCAACCTTCGAAGCCATGGTATTTACATTATATATACCCCTTGACATCTTGAAGTTACTTCTTGTGCATCAAAGCTATAATATGTTTTATATGCCATTCAGAAATTTCTAGATTCACAACTCCTGCAATTTTTTTTGGGTAGATTATTGAGAACATGTGAAACTTGGGCTTCATTTAGGAAAGTAGAATTATGGAGCCAATCTAACTGCAAGCTGTGTCCATGACTCCATGCGACCATTTAAGTGTGTTACCAGGCAATTAGGCTTAACATCCATGCCATTACCCTGTCATCATTGTGCACCTCATGCCCTAATCCTGGTTCTAGGGGCTGATTATCACCTTAGATGTCCTGCATAATTATTATTAGTATTTTTTGATAAGTAAGATGACCCGCATTTTCTCTGATGCTCTAAGAGCTGGTTACTACCCCAAATATTATTTTGTGTAGGTGTTAGATGTCTTGGTGTGTGATCTTTGGCCCTGTTTTAGCAGTGGTTATCTTATGGAGATGAACTATTTTTTACATCAAAATAAATGGATATCAGGATATGTTTTATGGCAAACACAAAATCCAATTTATCATATTCCATCCATCAAGATTAAAGCCAAACCCTTCTGCAGTCATATGCTCTGAACTGAGGCACTTGGATATATCAGTCTGTCTACAAGTTCTGGGCTCCATTGTCAGCAGTTTAATTGCGTCGATTCACAATAAAATTGTTGAATGCAGTTGGGATGCTGCTAGCTTCCAGGTGGTACCTGCTGTCCCAAATTGAATTTAGGGTGGCAAGATCCATTCTGGCATATTATGTGAACTGTATCATGGTTCTAGATAACCCATGAATGCCTAGACTTAGCATCTTACTCATGTCTTCATGTTGCTTTTTATATGGAATTGTGGATCCAAGAATGTGGAGTCAGTTTTCAGAAACTAAGGCTTATGGTTTATCATCAGCCTCTGTTAATTGGCGAATCAGTCAGTTTGTTATACCATCTTTTTAAATTTCATTAGCAATCACACTGTCTTCATTGTTTTAGATATAAACCACTTCAGATAATGGAATTTCATTGTTCTTATCTCTTTTTGGTTGGGTTGCAGACCAAGTATCTTGTGCTTTTTGGTTATTACATTCAGACCTTCATGAAATCAGGGCCACTGCTGTTCTTGAATACTTGTCCTCTGTGCTGGCCAATATAGAAACAGTAACTCAAGCAATAAATGGACTGAGAGGCAACTCTGATAACCTTTCCTTGCTTGAACAGAATTCTAATAGAGGGAAGTTTCTTGTCCGCTTCAAGCGGAGAAATGGACGAGTTAGACTGATGGTGATCTCTCCTTCTCTCTGAAATATTTATGTGGATTCATAACCATCAACTCTTCTAAATATCATTTAAATCTTGTAACAGTCTGAAGAAATATGCATCGAGCAATCAGGCATTAAGTTTACATCTATTTCTTCTGAAGATAAAATGATAGCTCAAAGCCTTGTGCCTAAGGTTAGTTGTGTACAACATTGCTTTGATTAGAACTTCAGAGTGAACTCTCTCTCTCAAAACATGTGGAAACACATTTTGGTCTCATACAAATGCAATAAAAAATAAGTGCACATCCTGGCAAGGAGGTACTTGAGAACAGACAATGTGTTTGTAATATATTTGGCATGCGTGCGTCTCTTGGCAGGTGCAATTCAATCTACGATTGTCAGAGAAGGAACAAATTGACCGGGCCAAAGTTGTACTTCCATTTGAGCACCAAGGTAAGTGTGCATCTGGAATTTTTTAATACTCTGGGTTTGTTTGGCATTCCTTCCTGAAAATGTGAAAGGATTTGACGGGGTAGGCTTTCTAGAAAACCAATTACAGAAAGAACTTCACAATTAAAAAAAAAAAAAATAAATAAAAAAAAGAACAACTGTTTCTCCATTGTTTACTTGTGTGTGTTTTGGATATATTGTGATCCTAGGATCTCAAGTTCTAACTAATTATTTCTCACATAGATTTTATGAATAGTTGCTGAATGGTTTTTCAGTATTTTTAAAAACAGTTTAATGAGAGGATTGTGGAGAACCTCTCGAACTAAGAGGCTTTTAAGATAAGTGGTTAAAATTGAATATATGGAAGTAATATTATTTATTTAGCTATTGACTTTGGTTTGATTCAGAACACGATAAATCCACTCAAATCTATGATGGCCGGCGATCTCTCAATGAGGAAAATTTGGAGACTACCCCTGCTGCCGAAAATCCGAGAACAAATGAGAATTCTGGCAGGGGAGAAATAATCTATTTTCGTGATTCTGATGATGAAATGCCAGATTCCGATGAGGACCCAGACGATGATCTGGACATATAACATCCCCCTTCTAATGTTTGAAAGCCGCAGTTCAAATGCCAGGAACTTTTCACCAGCGTGGTAGGTTTGAATGAAGTTCATCTTGATCTTGGCATTTTCAGGCAGGCCATACTTCTGACTGCAAGAAAATCTTTGCGTGGAGTTCAGCTGCTCAAATTCTCTTAATTGGGTACTCCAAATCAAGGATTGAGTTGGATTCAGTTCACCCTTATATTGACTTGATGTGGCCTTCTGGGAGAAAAAGTTGAAGCACGAGACAGACTTTTACCAACATGGTTTCGGATATGTATGGTTAGCCGAATCTCTAACAAGTAGTTTGAGGAAGTTAGTATTTAGTTTGAGCAAGTTATGTAACATCTCTTATTTTTGTTTTTTTATTTATTCTTTATTCCAACAAATCAGCCTTCTCCCTGGTGCAATTTTAGGTGCAGACCTTAAGCATATGTTGCTGAACCGATGTCTTGTGAATGCTAGATATCTAATTATCAATCTTGCCATTTGTTCCCACATTTTAATCTTCTTAGTTTCAAAAATTATTCTCAAGTTCAGAAATTGTATCATTAAGTAAGACAAACCAACTTCATTTGAGAAATCAGCTTACAGGACTTGATTGAAGCCATGGCATCGTTGATTTCAGCGAATTGAACCGAACTATAGCAGACTGATTCTGGAGGATGTGATGCCATCATCAAGCACTCACTGCTCCAGCACTACTGAAAGGAGGGATAAGACTTGCAGAGTCAAGACTCGTGTACATTATATTTGTTAAAGATTACAATCAGCTTAATTACATCTATATTTGTTACATCTACTCCGCAAATTCAATTGAGAGTAATATCTATACAAATTTTTTATACAGTATACATGTAAATTAGTGATGTGAACCGCGAATAAGAATGGATTTGACAAATGAAGGCATGGAAGTTTAGATATTGTGGCATGACTGATGACGCACTTGCAGTCCTGGATGAACCAGATTAATTTAAGTATGTATGGTGTCTCCAAGCAGTACGCCAAATACTGTCAAGGAAAAAAATAAATAAGAACTACTACTTTCTTCAAACATCAAGTAGCAGACCAAGTCCAAGAACCTGAAAGAGGAACGCAATTAGATATAACATTCAAAATCATGAATCTTTTAAACGCAATTAGTAAGAAACATATGCTGGTTTTTGAGATGAAACTTTTTACCCCAAATTATTGGAAAAAGAAAACGCAAAAGAAGTGAAACAAAACCTTATGACTAATGCTTCGAGTTAAATTCCTACCTACTTCTCTTTTTCTCTTCCTTATTTTTCCATTCCCTTTGTTGAATCAATTCTTGCTTGATGCTTGCGAGATTGTGCTGGTAAATATATAGTTGCAAAGATCACAATGGTTCATAGGCATGCTTCATTAAAATCAGTTCACTAAAGCAAGGTCTAAAATTTTGGAAATTTAATTTCAATTTTAAGCAACTTCTAAATTTTACTCCATCTTGCAGGCTACTTAGACATCCTGTACACAATTGCAGAGACAGAATGATCACCACCTAAATTTCCAATATAACAATGCATACCCTATATGCTAGTGTCTTATGTTACCAAACCCAGCTTCATTCAAAGAAAGCTTAACAGAAGAAGGAAAAAAAAAAAATTCATAGCCTCAGCGAATGTCCTTACCGGTTACTGTGGTCAATCATTTCTCTTCCTAAAACAACAAAATTAGCGTGGCCTCATTATCAAAAAGTACCCCTGCCATATATATAACCAGTAAGAGTTTCAGTACTATTTTGCTAATAAGTGAAGCATCTAATTGATAGAAATGCAGTTCAAAGTACACGGCCAATTACAAGCAGGTTAATATGACGTTAAAAATTTTCCGAATACACCTCTCTTTTATGGAAAACTATTGGGACGTCTGAGTAGTTTATCCTTGTGAAAATTCCTCTACAAAATTTCAAAGTATTCCTATGATCTTTTGGTTTTGAAAATTAGGACTCGCTTTCAAATTAATACAAGAATCGAGAATTTAAGATTACATATGAGGTGACGAGAGAGCATATCAGATGACAAATGGATTACAGAGAAAACCTCTTGGGGGCCTTACCAGTCAATAGAACAACAAATGCATGATCACTTTAAAGTGAGACCAGCTAAAAATAGACTGTATATAACTATAATCCTGGATTGTAATGCTAGGGTCAAAATTTAATCTACATATATGGTGGGAGGTGCTTGGTCCAAGAGTCCAAGATATTGTAGTTGTGGACTCTAATATGACAACTAGTATTCTCACAAGTCACAAGGATCACCGATAACAATTATCGAAATACAATTCTTGCATTGTGTACATGGGTTGAAAATTGACGAGTAGTTCATTTGATTCCTAAAGCATTTGAAACTATTCTTTATTTCATTTTTATGTAATTTTTGTCCTAAGTCGATAAACAAAAATTTCAGTCCTTCCTACGAAAGCAGACCACAGATATTTGAATTGGCTCCAATGAATCAATTTAAGATTCTAATGACTCCCCATAAATTATGAATTTGTTCCTTTGCACAGTGTGGTAGAAAAAAAAAATGAATTGTATTTCCATGGAAATATCTAAATGCACATTTACCCAACACTAGCAAGCCCAAAAGTAAATAGTACCTTAAGACAAGATGACGAGTCCAAGGTACATTGCTCCACAAAGAAACACGAATGATATCATTCCCCTGCGAGTAGAGTCCATTAGTGAGTTTGTAACACACATAACAGAGATAGTTGATCATGAAAACATTGACACCCAAACATATCCCAAAAAGGAAGTTTTTGACAGTCGACATTCCTGCTCAATTCATTGCTGAAAGTCTTACCAAATGGCACCCCATGCAACACCATTACAAGGGCAAGGACAAACTTCCGCAAACTTCTCCGCATCACTGGAGTTAACCCTTCGAGATATTAGATCATCATAGATATCTGCATCAGTAGATTCATGTCATATGACATTTGTAATTTCATTATCATCTACTTTCTTTTCTAGGTAAGGATGATTGACTGTACCATATACGGAAAATAAACAGTTCATTACACCTGCAATTCAGCCAGATCAGACATCAGCAATGCTTCTTTTTCCATAGAAGATATGAAAAACAGAAACCAAGAAAGAGAAAAAAGGGAAGGGAAAAAACAGTTTATTGAGAAATTTATATAACCAAAGTGGGGAAAAAAAAGCCCAAGGGGAAAGACATAACAAGATAAGCATATACCAATAAAGAGAATGATGTACCGGAGGATACGAAGTTGTGATGTATGTTGCAGGTACAAAGCTACGGCAAAGAAAACAATAAATCCTGTGTTGTTCAAATTAAGTTCAGCTTGTAAGTATTAATAATGTGAGCAATGAAGCCCTTGGACATGAAAGATTTAACAATTATAAAAGACTTGTAAAAATCTTGAAAGTTCTCACCAATGCAAAGTCCTCGAAGGGTCCACTGTTTCAACAATAGGATGAAGCAAGTAAGATGGTGGATACTTTAGCACTTAGAGATTCCACTTTTAATTTTTAGAAATGAAATTAAACTAGTAAACTATGGAATTTAATTATGGAATACTGAATATAAGTAGGAAATTATCTTCACCACTTACATTTTGAGCAATAAATAGCACAATAAGCAAAGCAGCAGTAAAACAACCAGCAGCAATCATTGCAGTGAGGACATTTGTGGATGCAAGTATAAGAACCATCCCCCAAAACGATGAACCAATATCTGGTGCAATAAGCAATTCGTTTAGATAAACTCTGCATACCATAATGAAGAAGCTAATGCCAAATAAAGATAGCATGCTCAAGAAGAAATAAATAAATAAATGAATAATGGCCAGTTGGATACAATTGAATCAATAATTGCACAACATTTGTGGATTCTCCTGGATCTGTATTATGCTTTACTTGCATGAATAAAAGATCACGGGAGAGAAGGTTGGGTGCCTAGGATACATGTTGAGAAAATGAGCATTGTCGAATTTTTTATGTTGAGATGGACAAGTGGACAGACAAAAAACGATAAAGTTAGAAGTAATTCCAATCGTGAAATGATAGAAATAGCTTCTATTGGAGATAAAATGAGTAAAATCGACTAAGAGGGTTTGACCATTTGCAGGGGATACCAATAACTGTAATAGTGACGTTGTTCAATTGATGATAAGGAAAAACCAACATGAATGGATTTTTATTTTTTATCATAGAAAAAAAAAAAAAAAGATATGATAGTATATCATTTAACTGAATTTATGCCTTTAGATAAAGTAGAATGCTGAGTGAATACACATAGGCAGGCAAGATCAGTCCTAAATACTCGGAATAATGCTTTATTGAGCTGAATTGAGCTAACAAATGCACCATAATGGAAAATAAAAATTGTGAGAGGCAAACGTTTATTACATCCAGCAGGCAAGATTAACCAATATACACCACCGCGAGTTATTGTCACCCCACCCTCATCTGCATGAACCTTCATGCCCTCCACCTGCATATCAAAGTAGTTCAGAAAATATGTGGTCGAGCATACAGAAGAAAAAACAACCAATAACCAACACGAAACATAATCCATAATCAAACATGCATTAGCCTTCTAGCCCCAGCAACCTAACCTCAAAAACCAAAACCACACATAGCAAAATCGTGAAAGAATCAGGCAAAGAAATTTCGTATGGAGAAGTTTAAAAAAACAAATAGTCATTCATTTCTATTTATCGACATCATCATGCGGTTACAGATGAACAAATGAAGAAGTTAGTTATATGGTGCTACAATTTAGTTTTCATTTCACTCAGAAATCAAACTGTAGTTAGTGTTGGAGAAACAATGTATTTCTAGTGTGCACATCTGGAAAGGACTTACTAATTCTTATCATGGTGGGAAGCTTTTGCATCAACATTGTTGAAGAGAACTTTAATGACTTCCACGAAATGGGAATTGATAACAGTTTAATCATTTTTGTTATAATTTTTTACTATGCTCCTATAAAGATTTTGAACATATCATGTGTCTGCATGTCCTCATCATGGGACAGAGTCAAGAAGATGAGATCAATATTTTATTGTTGTATCAAGTTTGATGGTGCGATATCATAAAGCTAACAACTTAGCGAAATAAAATGCCTATTAGTTAAATAAAATTCCATAGTGCAAGAGTATCGAACATAAACTATATGGAGTGGGAAATTAGCCAACTGTTATTCAGAAAATTAGCCAATTGTTATCAACGAGATCACATATAATTTATTCAGATCAATCAATTTTAGTGAATGGGGTTCTTGAATCTGCTCTCATCATAAAGCATCTAACATCCATAACTAAGTTCAATAAACAGTAATAATATAAGCTATATTCCATATTCCAGACATTATGCATTAGGAAAGGTCAAATTGTTGAAGGTTGCTTTGTGAGCTCCTAATTTTTGGCAGAACTGAAAATAACAAAGGGAACAAAAAAGAAGCACAAACACAACCAGAATTATGTGGTTTAACAATTGGCAAAAATGATTTTGTTGTCCTAGTCCAAAAATTTATTTACAAAACTTTTCTAATCACATGTTTCTTATATAAGTAAATTATAGCAAAACCAACAACTCTGTCAATCTGCACATTTGAAAAACACATTTGAATCCTCTACATTAAAAATATGACAAAAGAAAGAGCATCTTACCTGACCACATGTAAGCATACAAGCAATTGCATGGCTTGCTTCGTGAAGAAATACAGTGATAAGCTTAAAAGGTGTCAGCAGAAATGTCCTCCATAGCTGTTATGATCATCAGAAATTAAAAGTTGATGAAATATCAAAAGATTAACTGGGCAAAGAAATGCAACAAATTTAATCTTAATTACAAATTACATGAAATTTACCAACCACGAGGTATCTGTTCTGTTAATCTCATCCTACTATATAGTGTGTTTCAAATTGCATTTGTCAAAATTAGGTAAACTAATACCGTCTAACTATGATAAGTATGAGTTCCTTTTTGTTTTCACTTTGCTATATCTATGGCCATGTGGCCTACCATTTAATACACCACTGGATAATTTCTCACTACCCATAAAATTCACCTAATCATTTTAATTTCCTACAACTTAACAATATCACTATTTTAGTTGGTGCAACTATTGCTCCTAGTACAGAACCAAACAATTTCAGCCATCTATTCTCTCATCTATTGTAACTGCTGAATTCTCATAATTGCATTCACTTCAAATTCTAGTATGACTTTCCCTAGTTACTCATGCATTCCAGCTACTCAGTCTATGTGCACACCATCAGAGTCCGTAACATTATTTCACTATAGCAAAAAGGTAATTTATTGAAAAAATCATCATATCTTACATAATTATCATGAATTGTTTTCCAGAAATTTGCTCCACCTTACGTAGCAAAAAGATAAACTTGAAGGAAAATCTATGAAGCAGTCACATCTACAACAAATACATCTCTGTGTCGAACAAGACAATTTGCTGGAAATTCCTGAAAGAGTGTCTCACATGCCCCAGGCATGTTCAAAATTCAAGGGGAAAAATATCATAAACATTGTTAACACGGGTCAAGCATGCAGCAGACTTCTCACAATATAGTGTATATATATCTTTTTGGGTGTAAGGTAATATATATATATATATATATATATAGCTATAACAAAGGGTGGGCCTTGGCGCAATAGTAAGGTTGCTCCATTGTGACCTTCATGGGTTCGAGTCAGAAAACAGCTTCTTCGGAGGTAAGGCTGCGTACATCTAACCCTCCCAAGACCCCGTAGTAGCAGGAGCCTTGTGCATTGCTCTCCCACTCTTGCTCTGGCTCTGTGTGACTTAGGTCACATATGTTTGTACATGTTTGTACCTCATCATGTCTGTTCCTACTTCCTACTTTTTTAGGATTTTCCGTGTTAGCACATCCGTGTCCCATGTCTCATTTCCTTTTCCGTGCTAAAAACACACGTCTGTGGCTTGTGGATTAAAAATCGTCAAATTTTAATAAAAATATATTCCTGAATTTCAAATGTTATATATCACCACATATATATGATTCATACACACGTTTGTGGCTTTCTAGTATGAAAATTTCACACACACACACACAAAGAAGCTCTTGAACCTAGAAATGTGGTGTCATTAAAGGACTGAAGAACGAGCGCCATTGTTGCCTAAAATTTGAACAACATTCGTTTAGGAAGTGTGAAAGCTAAAATTGAAAGAAAAATATAAACTGACCATATAAATTGTATTCAAATTCAAAGCTCTCTCTATGCCAGAAAGGAAATTGAACAGAAGAGATAGAAAGAGAAGAAGAAAAAGCCCTAGAAGAATCGTACCAGAAGAATGACGACGGTGAAAATGCAGATACTAGCGAGGAAATACCTTTGCTTGTGCTTACAACAATCATTGAGATCCCAATTCAGCGTGGACCACCAATTCGACAGGATCTCTTCCATGCCGAATTGATGCAAAGGAATCGGAGGAATGAAAAGTGGAATTGGAGTTGCTGAACGCTTATGAAGTTTGGCATTTTAGAGAGAGAAAGTGAAGGATTAAGAGAGAGAGAGAGAGAGAGAGAGAGTGGGAGAGGGAGGAGGCGATTATTTTGTTGTAGGCTTGAATGTGGAACGCCCAATTGGCAATTGTGTATATAAAACAGTTAGTTGTTTATGACAATTATAGAAGAAACCAGTATTTAGTAGGGGTGCAGCTTGGGCGGGCTAGCCCAGCCCAACCCGAGTCCAGCCCATAAATTTTGAAATCTGGACATATAAATTTACAATTCGGGTTTAAGTCGGGTTGGATTTTTTCAAACCCCAACCTTATTCGGTTTGGGCTGGGTTAAACCCGAACCCAGCCCGAGAACCCAAATTAAACATTTCATGACAAAAAAAAAAAAAAAAAATCCACGATATCTCTCCTATCCTTCGCTAACTCTCTCTCTCATCATCCTCTCTCTGCTTTCTGTTTCTCTCTCTCTGCGGCCATCCATGGGCGAAGCTTGAGAGTTGAGAGGAGGGCTTATTTATTTTATTTTTTCTCCTTTCTTTCTTTCTCTCTCTTCTTTTTCTTTCTCTTCTTTCTTTCTCTCTCTTCTTTTTCTTTCTCTTTCTCTTTCTCTCTCTGCCGCCGTCCATGGGCGAAGCTTGAGAGTTGAGAGACAGCGGCTGAAGCTTGCGAACGGCGAACCCGAACTGGAACAGCGGGCGATGAAAACTGAAATATATGGGTTTTGATTTTTTGAACAATCTGAAATGATATGCCGATTTGGGTTTTGATATAGGTAATAGGTTTTGAACTTTTGATTATTGCAACAGATAGATAAACTGAAATATATAGGTTTTGAAATTCTGATTCTTGTTTAGTACTTTGCAGTTGCAGAGAGAGAGAGAGAGAGAAGGAGAAGGCAAGTTCAGAGTTGAGAACGAGAAGAGAGATGGAGGCGGCGATTGGTGAGGCTGAAACGATTTGCCCTAAATATATATATATATATATATAGATAATAAAAAATATATAACATACATATATATATATATATAAAAATTTCCCAAAAATTTTTTTATTTTATTTTTAAACTCAACCCGTCAACCCGACTTAACTCGTCCGAAAACATTCGATTCGGGTTATAACCACAACCCATGTTGGGTGCAATTCGGGTTGAGATTGGGTTGGGACTGGGCTGGGTTGGGCCAACCCAACTTGCAGCCCTAGTATTTAGCCCCAGTAACGACTACTGGAAGGCCTTCGTCGTTTTACTGTGGGTTAGGATCATATACATTACAGACCATTGTCGTTTTACTGTGGTCTGCAACTATAATATAGTAGTGTTATTACACTAATGTTGCATTTTTAATGTAAATATGTTGCGTTGCATAATATTGCACATATGATGATATAATGTGTGGGCAATGGAATGTTTTTGTAAGATTATAGAAATGCTTGATTGACCGTTGCAAAAAAAATAAAAAAACCTTCCATGATATTTATTTATTTTTATTTTTTTCTAGTTCTCTTTCTCATCACTCCTTAGAGCATCTTCACCTAAATCTTCAAATTTTATACTTAAAAAAAAAACACAAAAAAAATTGAGATATAATGTAACAAATTAAAATATGAAATTTTGACATATTTACATATAAAAAAATTTCACCCGATATGTCAAATTTATTAATATGATCTTTTATTCAAACTATGCCAAAGCTAATTTTATCTTAAAGCCTAATTTATTGCAATTATAATAATATATGACACCCATATTTTAAAATAATATAAAAAATTCATTTGACATATCAAAAAGTTGCATGTCAAATTTGACATATTTGATTTTATGCCAAATGACAACCAGACGTGTGACTATTCAAAGGGAGAAGTCATGTATGCCAAACTAATCTTTCAACACATCACCTAAAAATTAAAGATTCGGTGGTTCTCCTGCCAACCGAATCTTAAACAAATACAAAAAAATTCGTGTGAAATATTAAAATTTCTGAGTTTTTACTCGAGTGATATTGCCCTCAACTTCTCATAGATGGCCACGTGACTGTCTTAATAATTGTAAAATTGCATATACAAATATATTGAAATTAGAAGAAATGTATGTGTATGTCAAGTTCAATGTTAGCATTGGAACTTCTTCCCCCAAATATAGTTTTAATACAAATAATGGCACACTAAAGGGTGCAAAGTTGAGTTGTAGTCAACACTGCAGAACATTTCTGGGACATTCAAGCATGCAAAGTTCAAGATCTCAATTGCCTAATCCCATCTATATTTCTCTCACTAATTTCAAAATTCAATTGAAAATAGCATCTATATAATTTTCTATACAGTACAGTCATAAATCAGAGCCCCAAATAAGATTGTGTGTTAAAAGAATGAAGCCATGGAAGTACTGCTAATGTGGCACGACCATGCTTGCTGATGTTTCAAAACAATATACAGAGAATATCTTTGAGAAAATAGTAAGAATGAATGAGAACTAATGCTTTCCGCGATATCAAGAACAATTCAGCCGAGTTCAGGAACCTGAAAAGAGAAAAGCAATTATAGATATAATATTGAAAGATGTGAAATAAAGTATGGCAATATAGGTAAGCAAAATGATATTCAGCCAACTAGTTAGACCTATTTGTTAAAGTAAAATAATTATGGTCATTAATGGCCTGAATTATTTTCCAAAAACCAAGAGAAAAATAAAATAGTAAAACATAATAAAAAATCACAGGGTAAGAAATAAAAACATATAACTACTTCAAGAGTTCATTTATATTTCCTCCTTTATTCAAATTATTCCTCTTTTTTCTTTTATACCATGTCCAAACTAGAATGGCAAAGTGGGCGTGTGAATTTCAAATAAGAAAGGAAAAAAAAAAAAAAAAAATTATTGCTCGGACACTTGAGAGATTATGCTGGTAATATAGTTGCAAATATCACAAGGGTTCAAAGGTGCCTGATCAAGGCATTGTTTCGTACAACAATGCTTAGATATTATGATCACCCCTCAAATTTCCCAGATAACAATAAGTCCCCATATGCTATTGTGTTACATTATATTTGCACTGTCAAGCTTTGCATGAAGTAAGTTCAAGAAAATAAGCAAGCAATTCATAATCTCAGCAAAAGTCTTCACCAGCTTATGTGGCCCATCATTTCTTCCCTTAAATTACAAAATAAAATGAACATGGTCTAAAAATCGAAGCATTACCATATCAGCCAGTAAGAGTTTCAGTAATATTTTGCTGGTAAGCCAAGCAGCTAATTGATAGAAAGGGTGTTTAAATTGGTGAATGTCCACTATGGTAGTCAATGTATGCAGCCTTACCTCTGCATACAGAGAGGTTGTTTCCTTGTTTCGAATATGTGATCTCTAGCTGACAATGAAGCAACCTTGCCGCATGATTACACCAACACCCACCCTGTGTCTAAGTAAACGAACCTCATGAAAATTCCTAATTCAAAATTTCAACATATTTATCTCATTTTTATGTTCCGAAATTTCGTCTATCTTTCAATTTCAACCAAGAATGGAGAATTTGACATCATACACCAAGTGACGAGAGAGAACTTCTCAAGATGACTACTGAGAAAATCTCTCGAGGGATTTTGCAGGTTGATAAATCAAATTCAAACTACATCAATTGAGAGAGGTACCATGGGCATGAGTCCACTACTGATACTATATCATTCTAAGAAATATTTCATTCCCCTATTTTGAATGCTTTTTGAAGTCCATATTTCATGCTACTAGAAATTTCAGAAAGCCTACAATTGCTTGTATGTTTTGCTTTCTTAACTTCAATAATAACTTTTGTCAAAGCTAAAATGGTCAAAGTCGCAAGAAAGATATCAGGTTTTTTATTCTAATTCGTTTCTGCAAGTATTTCTCACAAAGATCATAAGAAACAGTCAGCGACTGTTTGGGTGCAACCCAAAACTACACTTCTTAAATTATGTTTCTAAACAGATTTAGAAATTATTAATGTTGTTCTCTTGAGCATTTGAAACGAATCCATATCAATATTTATGGATTTAACAGTCCATATGCTTGTAATGACTACATCTAATCCGTTTTAAGATTCTAACGACTCCATGACCATAACGAATCCATTTAAGATTCTAATTGCTCCGATTATGAATTTGTGCCTTTAAATCATACGGGAAAAAGAATTGTATTTCCATATAAACATTAAAGCACCTTCATGAATGTATCCAAGTGAAAACCAACTGTTACAGAAGTAGACAAGTACCTCAAGACAATATGACAAGTCCAAGGTACATTGCTCCACCAAGAAATATGAAAGATATCATTCCCCTGCCAGCAGAGTCCATTAGTGAAGGTGCGACAAAACAGATACAGAATCATGGGACATTCAGATATTAACAAATCAAAAAGAAAATTCCATGATAGTCATCCATTCATGCTCTTCTCAGTTCTGAGAAGCTTACCATATGACTCCCCATGCAACACCATTACAAGGGCATGGACAAACTTCAGCAAACTTCTCAGCATCACTGGAGTTCACCCTTCGAGATATTAGATCATCATATATATCTGCATCATTAAATTCATATCATTTGACATCCATAAGTCCATTAACATCTACTTTATTTACCAGGCAAGGATGATCGATTGTACCATAAACTGAAAATAGACTGTTCATTACACCTGCAATTTTGCCAGATCAAACATAAGTAACACTTCTATTTTCTTAAAAGAGATGAAAAATGGAAACCAAGTCAAGAGGGGGAAAAAAGAGGAGAGAGAGATTAATAAAAGGAAATGTCATGCTTAGCAGGAAAAAAAAAATCCAGAAGAGAAAGATATAACAGGATAAGCATATACCAATGAAGAGAATGATGTACCGAAGGATACGAACTGTTGTTTTTTCTTGCAGAATCCAAATCACAGCAAGGAAAATGATAAATCCTGAGAAGTTCAATTTTCAAGTATCAATATCATAAAGCAAGGAAGCCCTTGAATATCAAAGGATAAAAACAATTATAAGACCTATCAAACTCTGGAAAGTGCTCACCAATGCAGAGTCCTCGAAGAGTCCACTGTTTCAACGATGGGACAAAGCAAGTAAGATTGTAGGCATGTAAACCTTGAGAACATAGAAAATTAACTTCTTCTTTTTTTCTTTTTCTTTTTCTTTTTTTGAAAAAATATATTAAAATTATAAACTGTGGCATTTGCAAAATGGCACACTGAAAATGAGTAGGAAACTTGTCTTCGGTACTTACATTTTTAGCAACAAATAGCACAACAAAAAGAGCAGCAACAAAACAACCAGCAGCAATTCTTGCGGTGAGAAGATTTGTGGATGCAAGTATAAGAAGCATCCCCCAAAATGATGAACCAAGATCTGGATGGAAAAAATATCTATATAAATCTAGACAACTTTAAGAAGCTAATGCCAAATCAATATGACAAGGTCAAAGAAGAAACTATACAAACACCTGATGGATGCAATTGAGTTAATAATTCCACACCAATGTATGGCCTTTCATGGGTACTGTATCATGCTTTGATATCATGAATAATAGAATGTGTACTAACAGAAAATAAAAATTTGTCTTGGAGAAAAAGTTTATTACATCCAGCAGGCAAGATTATCCAATATACACCACCACGTGTTTGTGTCACCCCACCCTCATTTGCATGAACCTGGATTCCGTCTACCTGCATATTAAAGTAGTTCAGAAAATCTGTGGTTGAGCATACAAAAGAAAGATCAGCCAGCAACCAACATGATAAGTAATCAGGCATAGCCTCCCAAGAACCAAACCACATGTATTGACGTAACTTATACGTAGAAACTAAAAAAAGAGTTAATACAGGGAATTTCTTATACAGAACTTCTAACAACTGATTAGCCATTCATTTCTATTTAAAAACAGTGGCATGCAGTTCTAGATGAAGCAAGAAAGAGTTTTATCATTTATGATATGGTGAGACATCCCACAGATTTTATTTAATAATTGTATTTTTTCTCTTTCAAAATTTCACCCAGAAATGGAAATGGAGTTAAGTGGGGAGATACATCACTTGAAAGAGGAAGACAGTATGAGTTGTGGTAGGAACATTCTGGCCTCACTCCATCCCAATGTGCACAACATCTCAGATGGACTTATTATTTCTTACCAAACGAGGGAAGCTCTTATACCAATTCTTTTGAAGGGAATTCTAAAAAGATGTTAAACATATCACGTGTCTGCAAGTACTCATTAGGCGACAGAATCAAGAACTTAATGTTAATATGTCTATTAATTACTTATCAAAAAATATATATATATGTCTATTATGGGTACCATGTTTTATGGCGTGGGGATCTGAAGCTAATAACTTCACCAATTTAAACATGCACTAATTAAATAGTATTCCTAGCACAAAAGTATCAATATTTTCAGTTACAACGAGTTGAAATGCCAACGGCCATTCAGAAAAAATACATATAATTTAATCAAGATATCCAGTTTTAATATGCATGGTTAAATTAAATTAACAGCAATGGTGAAAGCTATTTTTGAGTTTGCAAATACTACGGTTTCGGAAAGTTTTGCAAGACCCGAAAAATTGTCAGAACTAAGGAAAAACTAGATCAAACCCAAGGACTAACTTAGGAAACTAGTGATCGAACTAAAGCACAATGACAACCACAATTTTGTGGTTTAACAGTTTGTGGAAGAATTTTATTGTCTCTAAGTCCAAGAATACATTTACAAAGTTACTCGCTCTCACCTCTCATACATGAGTAAATTCCTAGTGATTATTAACAAACTACATTTTGTTGCAGAAGAAAAAAAAAAAGAGTAAATTTCTTAATCAAATTACTTAAAGTTAAAATTATCAGTAGTCAGTATTTATCATAAAAAAAAACAGCAATGCTGGACCTGGATCCAGCTTGGATTGTAATTCGGTGATAATTGTAATCCTCATATATCCTAATCACAAGGCAACATTCTTTAATCCATCTTATCAGACCATGAAATTAAGCACACAACCAAAACAAAATCTACAAGTTGGACAATTTGTACATTTGAACAACACATTGAATCCTATGTATCAAAAAATTATGACAGAAGAAAAGGCCTCTTCTGGCCTTACCTGACCACATGTGAGCTTACAAGCAATTGCATGGCTTGCTTCGTGAAGAAATACAGTTATGAGCTTAAAAGGTGTTATTAGTATTGTCCTCCATAGCTGTTATGACCATAAAGAAAAAAAGAAATCATCAAAGTATTAGCAGAGCATACAAACGGAAACAAATTTAAGCTTAGTAATCCTAAGTATGTTTAACAGTGAGGAAATGCAGGAAACTAATATAAATAACAATAATAATGGATTCTTTTCTTTTTCTTTCTTTTCCTTTCCATTTTTCCTAACCTCCACTGTTTTTGAGATGCGAGTAGTGCATAGATGTAAACCAATAAGCCATTCCAAGTATTCTCTTATAATATTAAACCATACTTTCAGTGGTCTCCCATTCATGTAATAACTTGGAACACTAGTTGTCCGGAAAACTTAAAAAGTTGGAGAATTAGCATACCAGTTGTCCCAAACACTTAAATTGTTAGAAATGGACTCGACAATGCATATGAAGCTCTCACATCCTCCTGCACATGCGATCTCATCTCTCCAACAGTTAAAACTGTTGAGGAATGGCCAATCTATTTCAAGTTCTCAAAATTACATTCGACCTTCTCTTGGACTTGGAGATACATATTGTAACAGAGTACAAACTTTCTCCCACATCCCCCCAACCAGATACCTCTTGGAATAAAATTAATTTAAAAGTTTGATACAATGTTAGATATCAGTCGCCCAAAAGCATAAACTGTCAAAGAATGGACCCAATAAGGCTTATCAACCTCTCAAAAGTTCAATCATTTGGTACCCAACAAATTTAACACTCCATTAAACTTCCCCAAACACAGCAAAATCAAGAAAATGACAGAAAAACAAAACATGCAATACACAAGACAAAGCAAATAGCCCACGTGAGATTACAAGTTGTCAAGCCAGGTGGCTCGGTCATATTCGCACCACAAACCCTAGGACCCTTATATAATGTGTTACGATAGAGATTAAATCCAGGTACACGACCGGTGAAACAAAAAAGGGTCAAAAAATTTTGGACCATAGCCGCACCACACATCAGAAACAAAATTCGGGCCACAACTTCACACTCCCCAATATAAAGTTGTGCTTCTTCATAAATTTAACCCCTTTAATTTACGGGGAAAAAAATTTTCAAAAAAAAAAAAAAAACAAAAAAAAAATGTTCCTCTTAAAAGAAAATTGAGAAATTTAATTTCAAAATTATGAACAAAAGGCATACCCATTAATGCAAAGATTTTATCCAGATCTAACATGTCGACAAGCCAAAAAGTAAAAAACAAGTAGAAAAGAAGAGAGAGAAGAAGCATACCGCAAGAATGACAACAGTGAAGATACCGATAGTGGCCAGGAACACCTTCTGGTCATGTTTACAACAATTCTTGAGCTCCCAATTGGGCATTCTCTTCGCTGAATCGATCCAAAAACAACAGATGTATTACAGTTTAATTCAAGTTCCTGGTGGCCGGCCGGCCGGCAGTTTAGAGAGAGAAAGAGAGTAGCCGAACGTTTCGTTGCAGGGGAACGTCAAACGCTCCAACTAGCAATTTCGTGTATACAAGAGAGAGAGAGAGAAGGATTCAAAAAAATTTAAAACTGATGAGCAGTTGACCAAAACCTGGGGATTCGACTTCCAGACACCGGGGTATCACTGTCGATTTTGTTAGAGGACTCGGGCCAATGAGTAGCTAGTTGGTAACGCATTCTTGTCAGCCAATTACGCCTTGCCAGGTTGAAAATTTACACCTGTAAATACGAAAGAATTTTCTCATCTAACCCAAAAAAAAAAAAAAAAAAAAATTTAAATTAAATTAAAATTTGACCATGTGAATTTGATTCACGTTCTTTTATTCAAAAATAAATATTTGAGTAAATAAGTGTGTGAATGATTTAGGTTACTTTATTGACCCGCTAATTTGCTTATAATCAATTAAAATACCATGTTACCGGCTTTATATTCTCAAAATTCAGTAGGTAATTCTATCTTTCATTATTTGTTTTATATATATATATATATATATATATATATATATATATTTCCTCCGTCCTATATTAGTAATTCATTTTTTTTTTTACATGTCTCAAATTAATTGTCTTTTTTATAACTTTGGTGATATATATATTTAATGTTTAAAGGATAATTTAGTAATTTGAAAAAGGAATAATGTATTAATTGCATATTCCCTTAAAAAGTAATAAAATCAAATATGGTCAACTAATAAGATTTGGAGGGAGTATATTTTTATTGACAAGAAATTCAGACACAGTACATCACTCAAGCGGATAAGGATTCTCCCCAAGAAATAAGAGGTCATGCACACCCACCAACTTCACGCACCCACTTTAGCTCATTTTAAAAGTCAAACCCTCGTTATCATTCACTTTAAGAGATAAAAGAAGATACCATTAGATTATAAGACTTTGGTACTGACTTAATTAAAAAATATCTAATTTATTTATAATTAAAAAGTAATTGGATTGTCAAATAGCACTTATGTTTTTTCATTTTTTTTCCTTATAAAATAATTGGATATCGAGGGTAGGGGTTAATAAATACCCCACCCAATAAAAATATTATTCTTTTCTTAAATAATGTGAATTTGGGTGTTTTGATTGCGTGGAAGTATTTAGTAATTGTTACCCTGATTACCCAATAATTTCCTTCTATTAACATTTTAAAAGTAGAAGGTGCATCGGACTATTTTTGTTATCATCTGAAGCAAAGCCACATTATTTTGCATGAATAATTTTCAGAATTGATATCCTCACTTCTCTTTTCAATATTTGTACTTTTCAATTTTAATCATAACTTTATATGTAAATAATTATTAATTTTTAAATGACACGATTATCATTTTAGATTTTCTTTCATCATCTCTAATCTTTAAAATTTTAAGCATCTTTTGGCAAGACCAAAAAAAAAAAAAAAATTAAATATATATATATTTTGTAAGAGACCAAAACAAAACCAAAAATTATGTTGAATAAGTTATTTCTTTTGACTGGACCAAAAAAATAAAAGTTACCATTAGAAATTATCTCTTTTAACATGAAAAAAAAAAAAAAAAAAAAAAAACCCAAAAAATATATACTTAGTGAAGAAATATTTCTTTTGTTAAGATAAAAAATAAATAAAAAAAGTACAAAAAGAAGATGATTTAAAAAAATTATCTCTATTGATTAAATTATCTCTAAACGGAAAGAAAAAAAAGGAAAAAAAAAAATTTATTTTTGTCAAATAAATTATATATTTTGACAAAACCCATAAAAATTACCAAAACAAAAAAGTACTTCTTTTGACGTACTGAAAAAAGTTAACTTTGCTGAATAAATATCTCTTTCGATTGTTAAAAAAAAAAAAAAAAAAAAAAAATCACTACGGAATAAATTATCTTTTTTGACTGCAAAAATAAAATTATTAATATGAAATAAATTATTATCTTTGAAAGGATCTCAGGAAAAAAAAAAAAGTAAAAAAAAAAATTCAAGTTGTATAAAGGGTAATTATGACATTATAAATTAATAGATAATATATTAATAAATTCAAGAACCTGCTTATCAATTTCTTTAAAAAAAAATAAATAAATGGAGTGCAAATATGTCTCTAATTCTATACAAATTACATTATTATTCTTAATTATTACTTAATCACTTTTTCTTTTTCTTTTTTTAATTTTTTGGTGCATGAATATCAGTTTTATAGAAGTTATGCGGACTCTGATGGGTACAAATGTACAATGCAGTTGCTTTCAGTAAGCCCATTGGCCCAATATAATAGGTCTAGGGCAAGTGGCAAACACTCGCATGCGGACTGCAGCAATGATGTGGTATTGCATTTTTTCAGTATGCCCGTGGCCCAACATAATAGGCCTTGTACATTTTATCATTATTATTTTTTTATTTTATTTTTGTACCTCTTAAGTCTAAACCATGCTGGTCTGCACCCATTATCTATATTTGGCAAACTAGCGCAGCCTTTCTATAATTTTCTGGTATTATTTTTCACAATGATTTTTTTTTTTTTTTTTTCCAAGTGGTACCGGTCTCTATGCAATTTTTTTTTTTTTTAACCATACGTTGGTTTTTATCACACTGGTTTAACCAAATGTGTCATGTCATTATGTGAGATAAAAAATATGAATAGTGATAGGTCTTCCGATCTCAATTGCCGACTCATTTTCCGAATTGCTGACTCATTTTCTGAATATAACGTGGTTAGAAATGAATCGAAAAGAAATAGATATTTACGAGATTTTGTTTTAAGAGTTCCAACGTGATCCAACCATGTTGTATTCGGAAGATGAGTCGACAATTGAAGTCGGAAGACTTATCATTTCTCTAAAAATATAAAGTCTATATATCATCTATTTTTTCTAATCAAACCATCTTATCTGTCTATTATGAATTCATATATATATATATATATATATATATATATATATATATATATATATATATATATATCCAAAAGACAATTAAAAAAATAAAAGAATCCATTCCAAGAAGAAAAAAAAAATTTAAAAGAAAGAAAATAATCGTAATCAAGAATTTTAATGATATATATATATATACACACACGTATTTATATATATATATATATATACTCATCAAATTATGAGAAAATAAATAATTAAAATGACATTTTTGTTCAAAAAATTTATATTTTAAATATCCTATAATGATAGCCTGGTAGGACATATGTAATTAATTAACACGTAATTTTAGAAATCCTGACAAGAAGGCCTGTGCAAATGCAGTCGTGCGCTCCTCCTATATACGTAGTATATAGCACTAGACATGCAATTAAAAGGACAAATTGTATCTTTGTCAATAATAGTCATTAAAACTCTCAAATTGTATTGATAACGAGAAAATGTGCAATTTCGAGAAAATGTGTGATTGCAATGGAGTCCAAGGAGAAATTATTACAAGGTACTGTAATAATAGAAGGCTTAGTGGGACTGTGGGGGATTCGCATTCACTAGAATTTTTTAATTTGAATTTTTTATTTATGATTTTAGTTAAATTTTAATAATGGCCCTACAATTTATTTGCTAAAATCCAATATATTCAAAATCACCCCTACCGAGTTTTGGGTCTTCAAACTCACCCCCTCTTATCACTTTCAAAATTTTGCACTCTTTTTTGGGCCTATAAACTCACTATATTTAGCCTATGAATGACTCTCCCTTCATAATTGTTGGCAACATAACTCAAGAGTGTATGTGGTACGGCTTTTATACAGAACCGTTCCCAATGGTTCTTAAAATTTGGAAACGGAATTGAACCAAACCGGTTCTAGTTCTCTTTTTTTAAAAAAAAAAAGCAATACCTTGGGTCACAATTACAACCAAACAAGTATTAATAGGCATATAAATTAGTAATTATATAATTTTAAAATAATATATTTAATTAAAAAATAATATATATAATTATTAGTACTGTTCCGAAGCACCGGTTCGGTTTTACTGGTTCTTTGTGCACCCTTAACATAACTCTAATTCTCTTTAATTTTTAAAATTATCTTAAAATTGTTTATTTATTTATTTTTTTGGGGGGTTTTATTTTGTTTCTGTTTATTATGGTAGTTATTATTATTATTATTTTTTAATCTCACTTGTTATTCATTCATGATTACCCACCCCCAAATAATTTTTTTAGTTCGTTAATGGTCCCAACCCATCACTAATTGACATGCAAATAAAAAAAACTGAATACAAATGATAATTTTATTTGTATATCAACTAGTGATTGGATTGTAATATATGTGAGCCGAATTGAGAGACATTTTAATAACATTCAACCGTGATAATCGTGGTAGAATTGAAAATATAAATTACATGTGATACTGCCAAGAAGGAAATTATATCAATACTGTACTCTTTTATGTTAATCATATTTTCTCATTTTGTGTTAATTTGATTTGTGAACCAAAAATAACGTATTACAAAATTAATTGAAAACCATCTTGTGGGTTAGACTTCTAAAGGAAGTTTGGATTCCTGTGTCTTGGGAAGAAAGAAAAAATATATATATTTCTTTTGAGAAAGTTGAGTGGAAGTGAGAATGCATTTCTTTCCAATCAAACTCCGATTTGCTTCATATGCAAATGTAGTGGTTGGTTGGTTGGTGATCCTATTCACCTATTCCTTTCCTCTCCCACATGGAAATGCAATATAAAAAATGAGGCAGATAAAAAGTGTGTTGCCAAAATTATTGAAGACCAAACAAGTTTTCAGCCCACCCGCAAAGTGTATATATATATATAGATGCTTTTGGAAACCTCTATCTCCTTATCCATACCCAAACAAAGCTTTTTGGGATATCTTTTGTGGTCACTAGGGACTGTCCATAAAATCATTTAAAAAGCAAATTGGCTAACAAAATTTTAGCATCTCCCTCTTTTCTCTCTCCGGTGGTTGGGAATTCAGAGTTGTTTACCATTTTATGCCCTGATTCATGAATTATTAAATAGTATCTTGCAAGCCATCTGCCATTTCTGACACTAGCCGGCCTTCTCATTCTTTACCATTTTGTCCCCTTGCATTACCATCTTGTCCCTTTTCCCCTTGTTCCATTATGGAAACGAATTATTATGCATGCCCTACAATCTATCTTTACCTCTATTTCAGACACCGTAAAGTGAAAAAAAAAAAAAAAGAAAAAAAGAAAAAAAAAAAAACTTCACTTATAGTTAAAAATTACTT